ATTCCACATTTTCTCTTTTCACTTGTCAGAACAAAGAACTGACATAGCTAGGCACTGAACATGTGGCTGTACGTGTCAGAACTAGCATAGCCTGTGCATTGGCGGATATTCATTTTGGCTCCCAGGTCCATATGATGATAAAGTCTGTACCGACCATGTGTTGGCGCTGCTGTATTCCAGGATCGTTCGTTAGGGTGGGTTCCTGGGAGCGAACGAATTTGTTCGCTGGGTTATTGCATCCAGCGCGAACTAATGGTTCGCCAGGACCACCTCCCTTGGGGAACGAACGTCATATATTGGCGTCCTTTATTTAGTGCCTCGCATATTTACAGTGTATTCCGCTCTGATGAGACACTTGCCATCTAACCTGTTTTCTTTTTTTTTGAGCATCAGTACAGACACAAGCGCTCATATATACGCGCATACACTTATCCCTATGAACGCACACACGCACACCCTAGCCCTATGAGCACCTCCAAAAACTGAGGCGGCATATCATCTAACCTGTTGACATGTATCCATGATCTCAACTGTCAGCACATATTGTCTGTGGTATTTGGAATGGTGCCGTCATGAGAACCCACTTGGTCTATAGATAGACGTCATCATGCTCACTTAGTTCCTTCCTCTCTTGCCTTGAGCTCTATCTCTCGGGCAGGAACCCTATCCAGTGTTGAATCACCTTTGCCTCGTGTTCGATGGAGAAGGACATGATTCACGACCGCTAGTTCTAAGTCCTCACGTTCCTTTTAGACGGACGGATCATCTTCCACCGCTGTCATCGTAGCCGGTGGTTCTCGCCAAGACGAACGATCAGTGTGCTCCTCGTCTTAGTAGCATTTCATTAGTTCATCTTGCGGTAACTTTTCTTTTCTTTTTGAGCAATGAAAACAGCAGGAGACTTCTACTGTTGCTTTTATAAATATGTTAACCGAAGGTTAACAAATCAACATGGGGTTTTACATGGATATTACAGGAAATGAGACAAGCCCCTTTGGGAAGTCCCTCTCAGAGTAACTACAAAGCCTACTAGAGGGAGGAGTGTGTTTATGTTGTAAGAGAGTTCCTGAATCCTTCAAAAAAGGTCAGGTTTTCAGAGTTGATTCTATAGCCCAAAATCACAAAGTCTTCCTCGAGCTTCCTAAGCCAGTCAAAATGGGTGGCCGTCTCACCATCAAACACCACTTTATTTCTCTGCTTCCAGATATTCCAGGATGCCAAGATGGTCGCTTCTTTGAATTGGCCTTTGCCAGCTTGCCCTAGCTTGATCATATTTTGTTGCATTTCCAGCTGATTGTTCCAGTTAATACTAATTATCTCCCAACATCTAATGGCAAAGGGACAATCGTAGAAAAGATGTTCATTAGTTTCTAGGACCCCCATGTTGCAAAGAGGGCAATCATGATCATCACCAATGTTAAAGTGTCTTCTCAAAAGCATATCTCTGGTATTGACTCTGTCGAGTAGCATCAGCCAGGCAAAAACCTTATGTCCCATGATGCATTTTGTCTTCCAAATCAAGGTGAGGAACTGTGGTGCTAACACATTTTTGAACATGAAGTTATATAGCTTTTTTGGTTTGTATTTTGTGTCCCCCCAACACAAGATCCATTCATCAGTGGCCATAGGTTCCAAGTTGATTCCTGCCATCATAGCCTGCAAATCATCTAGTTCGGTCTGGGCTTCCATTGATAATGGCAACACAAAGTTCTCCGTAGGTGTGCTGTTGTTGTAGAATTGGGCCAATTAAATATCCTCATTGTTTGTGTAGGAGAACAAATGCTCGTGCGTGTTCATCAGCGGTCGGTCTTCCAGCCAAACATCTTTCCACGAAAGTATAGTATCACCCGCTGCTGGAATACAAGAAGTAATCCCACGATAGATATCCATCAATGAGAACACATCTCGCCACCAGAATGAACCACAACTAGGTTTTGAAAGGGGAGGAGTTTCATCATAATAGGCATCCTAGACTATCATCACCCATGGTGTATCTTGTTTGTGCATGAACTTATGTACGTATTTGAGCAATAGGGCCTTATTTTGAATTTGTAAATTTAGGACACCAAGCCCTCCTCTTTTCTTAGGGCGGCAGACCATATTCCACGCAGCAAGAGAATGAGTTTTAGCATCTCTATCAATTTCTTTCCTCCATAAGCAGTGTCTTCTCGCTCTGTCAAAGATCTCTATTAACTTCAGAGGGAGTTTTAGTACGCACATGGCAAAGGAGAGTAGCGAGTAGAGAGCAGAATTGATTAACTGCACTCGTTCCCCATATGATAGCCAGATAGCAGTTCCCGTCAACCTTCATTCGATTCTATCCACTAGCGGCATCAAATCTTTCACTGTGGGTCTGGTAGTCCCGAGTGATAGCCCTAGATACGTGAACGGCATTTTTCCAACTTGGCAGCCTAACACGCTGGCCAGATCCGTAGCTTTTTGAGCTGCCACATTAATTGGCATTAATTGACATTTGCTGTAATTAAATTTCAGACCAGTAGCTCGGGCGTAGGAGTCCAGTATCGCCTTAATTGTTTTGAGCTCATCACGATTGGCTGGAAGGACAATTAACGTATCATCGGCATATTGGATAACTGGGAAGTTTTCCGATGCCGGTTGGTTGATTGGGAGTGTAATGAGCCCTTCGGACTAAGCCTTGTTAATTAAAGACTGTAGAAGATCTACTGCCAACATGAATAGTAATGGAGTAATGGTGATATCGGGTCCCCTTG